ATAGCTGTAGTATATATATATATCATTATATCATTTAAATTAAAAGAGCCCTAAGAGACTCAGTGGTAGCGAAATTTTATAGAAGAAACTTTCAATGATTTTTCAATTGCTATTTTGCCCATCAAGCGTCATATAATGTTAACTTATTGGCCACTTTCACGGATGATATGTTTAGCAACATGTCAGAATTACAAGATATGCAATACGAAATGGAATAATGAGGAAGATGCCGATATTTTTACTCATAATTTAAACAGTTGTAATAAAAAAATAAATGATAGAAGCGGAATTAAAAAATTCAATCTGAAAGATCCCTTAACTTGCTAGCAAGATAAAATTTTTCATATTTTCTGGAAAACAAAAAATTTTAATGATTTTCCTGGTTGAAATTTAAATCATTTGTGATGATGGTGACTCGAAAGTTTTGAATCAGATTATCAGAAATAGAAAAAAAGGCGTTCACTTCTTCCGAAAAAGTGGGTGAATTCAGCATTTTTGTGACCCATGTTGTTTTCAAAACTTCATCTTCAAGGATGAGGTAAAAAAAATTACTTTTTTGAAAAAGATTTCTCCAAATGTTTTTTCTTAAACTGCGTGAATTACATAACGCGCTTAATTATGTGTTCTACTTTTATCTCTTTATTTTTTCTATTAATTGAAAATCATTTTTTCTAGTACCTATGAAAATTTTATTCAGGAAATCTAACAATTTAGCAAGCACCTAGCAAAAATATCATTTAATATAAGAACGAATAATTTTTCTCTGTGGTTTTTAAGTTCATTTTTTTTTACTTTTGGAAAAGATAACATTGCACAGAAATGATTTAAGCGACTGTTTTTAATAGAAAAAAATTTGTCGGGGTAAAGCTACTCATTGTTGTTATGATAATTTACTTAATAGAAAGCATAACAAGTATATTTATAAACATCATAAATCGACTTTATAAGTTCTAATCCATAAAAATAAGATGCTTTTTTTCCTAGCTTCAACTGGGTAGAAGTATGTGCAAGAACTTTTCACTAGAAATTTAAAGTAGGGCAAATAAACCTATCAGCCCCCAATAAAAATACAGCATTATCGAGTACATTTATATTTTTGATTAATATTGCAACTAATATAATTTATTACAACTTATTCTACATGTCTTTATTAATATCGTTTATTACAAGTTATTCTCCATGTCTTTATTAATATGGTTTATTGCAACTTATTTGCAGGCAATTTGTTTCATTCCATTTTTTCGTCTCCTTGAAGGAGGTCGAAAAAAACTTTCTTTGTAAACACCAGAAGTATTTAAAATATATTTTTTTTACTTTAATAAGTTATTTAATTAAAAGAAGCATCAAAGAGAAAATTTTTGAGGTAACAGTGTTCTATCTTGACTTAACAATAGAGATCGCCATGCTTAAGATATCTAAGATCGTTTCCTTTCAGACTTTGAGGTTCACTGCATTCACCTTTGAAATACAGAGGAATTCTGTGGTTTACCATCCATCTCAAGCGACAATCACACCGAATTTCATTACCTGAAAAGCAAAAAAGAAAAATAAATAAATGAAAAATCAAATAAAGTAAAAATAATTACATAAATTTTAAAAATATGAAATATATATTAGGTCAGTTCCGTAACACGGAGCTTTTGGAGCCCACTCTAAATTATTTGAACTTTTGAGAAGTTTATCGTTTAATGATTAACAATTGTTAATCATTCAACGGATCCCCTTGACGTCGGGCTAATCGTCAGGTTTTCGTGGTTTTACTCTCCATGTAACGGTTTAGGTTCATCAAAAGTTCTCTAACTTTCTCTGGAAAGCTAATTTGTCCCAATGCTTTATACAAGAGTTCCCCTTTCTTCCGGGTTAGGTTCAAAATTACAAGGTTCGGCGTTGAAGATTAATAATCGCAAACTCAGAAATGTGTTCGGGTGTTCAACGCCGGTTGTAAGATAGAATGAAATTACTTAATGGTTAGTTTTTCGATTAATTTAATTAATAATTTTAACGTGACGTCATTACTTGATACGAATCCTTTTACTCATATTTTAAATATTTCTATCAGAAAATCAAACTAATATAAAAGAGTTAAAATCCTTAAAAAAATAGCAAAATACAATTGAAAATTTTTACGAACTGAGGGAACACCTTTTTCTACTGAATGTGGTTTGAACCTTCTACTTAAAATGCACCAATAAAATTCACAATTTCTTAAATGTATAATTTATATGAATTTTTATTTTGATGAAAAACTTGCTAAATAAAAATTGTCGGTGTAACGTTGGTAAATACTTTGTATCGCTATGAGAAGTTTGTACTAAAAACATTTCAACTCTACACAAAATCGTTTATTTCTAATAAAAAGAAAAGAAAGAATATATGCACTCTTCTCTTAAAATGAAAACCGATTAAACTTTTCAGTCTGTTTTCGAACGGCATAGTCAGAGTAGCTTGGACCGGGCTCCAAAATTTCCATATCCCAGAACTGACCCAATGGTTAGAAATTATTCATCACCTGCCAACATCATTGATTGCAGCTTTTGCATAATCGGTGAAAAAACTTCTTCTCTAAGAGTCACAAATTTGTTGTTATTCAGATGTACTTCATGCAAATCTGGCATGTTGCTGAACATATTATCTGGCAAAGTGGTCAGCAAGTTGTTGCTGTAATTAGAATGAAAAAAAAAATTAAAATTGTTCCAACGAAAAGCATATTAAATTTTGTACTTTTTAAGAGGCAGTTGAAATAAATAAAGTAAAATGACGTTTGCATTAGGTTTTATCGAATGTTTCTACCGTATGCTGAAAGAAATATAGTCCAGCAATTATAGCAAAAACAAAGACGTATCTTTGTAAGAATTAGTAATAGAGGTATTTTTAACAATACGCTTTGGTATATTATTCAAAATTCCTGAAAACTCCTCTTTTCTCTTTTATACGATTCCCTTTTTTCCCTTTTTTTTATCCCCCTTAAATAAGGGTGATTTAAGGGAGATAATTGAATTTCTTCAAAACGGGCAATAGCATTGTTTCTACTGTAGTTTTTTGCGTTAAATTGAATAAAACCATGAGACGATCGAACAAATAGTTTAGAAGTTATAAGGTTTTAAGTAGAAAAAGCACAAATTTGTACTTTTACGTATTTACACATTTAATATTGCTATCTAAACAAAACAGACATTGTTTTCTTTGTATTTTTTTACGTTTAATCAAACTTTTTACTTTGCTATTTATGGGTTATATGAACATACTTTTTCCTATGAAATTTTTTATGCTGAATTGAATGAGATGAAATTCGAGTTGAGAGGATTTATAATTTTGAAGATATAAGGGTTTCTTTAAGAATAGCTGTAGTACATCAAAAATAGTACTTTCTATATCAAAAGCCCCTTTCAACTTATAAAGTATTCGTCCTTCTGTTTCTTGCTTGATCTCATTCACTTAAGCGATAAAAAATACATAGGAAATAATACCTCACTTGTCTGTAAAGCAATCTCAGGTGCGTGAATAAGTGCAAGTAAAAAATTGTACTTTTCGCACACAAAACCTTTATAACTTCTTAACTATTTATCTTATAAATTTCTGTTCTGTTTTAATTAAATCAGCAGCAAAAACAACATTGGAAAATAAGCATTATATGTTCTTCAACAGTAGTAGTATAGCAGTGTAAAGTGTGTTGTATATTTAAAAAAGTCGTAAGTCATTTATTTAAATTCAATTTCTCTTGAACTATTAGACCGATTTCAATTTTGCATTTATTAAATTGCTCAAATTTTGTATTTTGCTACGTAAAGTTACATTCTCTAAAATTATGAAGAAAAAAAAATTATATTTTGCATTTCAAAATTTTACGACTAATTTTAAGTAAAATAATAAAAATAATAAATCTTCACTTAATGTTATTTTTATCTTTGTATAAATGAATTTTGTAGGTGTGTGGAAAAATTTTTCATGTCGCTTAAGAAGTTCTCGAGATATGGCGAAATGCGCAAATAGTGAACTTTAGTAAGGGGTTCAAACTTTGGATCGCGCTTCTGGTCAAAGTACGGAGAACGGAGACCATTTTTCCCAGATTGCGGCTACTCTCTATATTTTGAAAATCATTAATCAAAATTCATCGAAAACGAAAGTATTCTTACTCAGAGAAAGTACGTTTTTGTATCTGATTTCGTAATTTAAAATATCGTATGCTTTAATTAATTAGTACCGATTATTAAAATAAAAGTTATTCAGAATAATCAGTTTTTTTTCTTCTTTTTTTTTTTTTTTTTGCTTGCGCGCGAATTGTACATTAAAATTTGAGAACAGATAAAACATCCTTTTTTTGCTTCTAATATAGCCGATATTAATGCATAATCAGGTTTTTAAATAAAAAGAACTTAATTCATAGAATCATTTTTTATTTACATATTCTTCACTATGCTAAGCGTAGAGAAGGGACAAACTCGCCTGTGTAATGTTTCTCTGAATAGCGTTTATACGGCTTTAATACTCACCACTCACTTGATACATTATGCTTACTCCTCTTATTCTTGTCTCTTTGTTAAATATTAATTTGTGATCCCTGCCTTTATTTTTTAACAAGGGTTCGTAATTTTATACAAGGAATTAGATTATAGACAGAGATATTAAGATTTTTGACTACACATAATTACAGAAAATTAATATTACCTGAGATCTAAATGATATAATTTTTTAGCTGGATTGGGGAACATACTTCTTGACATTTCACTTATTGCATTGTTTTTCAAAACAAGCAAATCTACATTCGGTAATTCTCTGAAAGCATCTGGATGGATGAAGGAGAGATCTGCACTGCTGATTCCTAATGCCGTCAGGGTTTCGAGACGAGGGAATTCGTTGTCCAAGCTGCCCATGCCAATGTTGTTTACATCTATTAACGACAGTTTCTTGAGGTTGCGCAACTGAGACCAGTCCCAAGTTGTTATATAATGAGCTCCCGTTGCTCGGATTTCTTCTAACTCATTCTCTAGTCCTTCAAAAGCCAATTCTGAGTCTGATAAGGCCATCACTTGGGAGTTTGCGAAGCGAATCTGTACAAGTAATTTTACATCTATTACATCAAAATACATAAATTAACTAAAATGTCTTATTACAAAGGACACACAAAACACGCAAAGAAGTTAATGGAATTCCTGCAAGTGACGTAGTGTGGGTACCACGATCCTGAGTGGTTGCTGAAACGTGGCATTTGTTTACGTTAGAAACTGTTAGTTCCATTCTATTACGAGTAAGCCAAGCCCGCCAAGTATCAATTCTTTTAAGAGACACATATTAAATTCTTTCATAAAATCATTCTCGAAGATTTGAATTATTTCACTAAATATTCAGACAGAGATTTAACACAAAGACAGGCACGAAGCCATGCTGAACATAAACAAACTAATTATGCATCGAAGTAGTTGCTAGGTACACAAAACAAACATATATTATGGTTCCAATAAAATACATAAGCAAATGATTAATTTAAGCTAAGTAAAAAAAGTTCGCGAAAGAATTATATGCCAAATAATTCGATGCATGATACAGCTCTGTATTTTTTTAACTTATCGTCAATTAGCATTCTAACTTGCGTCGAGAAACTTAGCTCAACTTTAATGCGCCATTTTCATGATAAAGATTAGCTGGCGCGGACGTCGTAGGCCATATGTGTGGGTACGGGAGGTCTTCTTCTTGAAATGCAAGTATAACCATATACTATTTTAATTAGCATGGGTATTAAAACTTGAATGGTAGAGTTTAAAATACACTTTGTTAGACCTTTGAAACAGAATTTTTATTAAACATATTTTTTTTATAATTTTGTATTCTTTATTGATAATAAGTGATAAATATTACATTAACGTTTTAATAATTTATGGTTATAAAATAAAGCATGAAACTCCTGTGTCTTTTTTTGCAGTAAAAGCAAAATTTCCCAAATACGGCTCACTTCAAAGCAATAATTTTTCAAATTTGCACTTATTTGTAGGTGTTAAGATATAAGAGAAACAGTTAATAATCATTGAAATGTCCTTAATTTATAAAATAAATTATTGATAAATTTTGAATATGAATGAAAAAAATATTTCCAGTTACTTATTTTGAATTTTATATTTTAGAGCCAATATAAATACAATAATCTAACAGATTTTTTTATTAGCTATAAGACTGTTTTTTATAATAAAAAAACTACTAAAATATATTTTAGCTTCTAATAAGAGTGCAAAAATCATATATATGAAAGGGACACCAGTGTCACACTGCGTAAAAGAGTTAAGGACATCAAGGGATTTTTAACGGGAATTTTGTTTTATAAATTGGTTACAAAGGATCAAACATTTGTAAAAAACAAGTCTTATCAGTGAATGATATTTTGTTTTACTAAGCAAGTTTTCCTTACCTTTGCAAATCTTGTATTTTTGAATATTTCTCCAGGTATATATAAAAGTGACGAATCTTCTATATTAATTGCTAACATTTCGTAACCTTCAGCAGCTTTGATGGGAGCAATTAGCTCCTCCGCATTCATTATGTTATTGCATGTCATCATTGAGAAAGTGTCAAAAGCTCTGCAATTGCAGGATGGAGACAGATCCTCTTCCGGAGGACAGCGTTGTGCTATCGCTCCACAGGTTAACCACAGCAGAAGTAGTAGCACGTTGAAACCCATTTAAAATTTTGTCACAGTCTAAAATATAAAATTCATTCAGTTTCTGATTTTTGGCACAATTTTTTAGACTAAAATCTCTAAAGTTCAAGCATGTGCAAAAAATAATTTCTTGAAATTTAGCAAAAATGTGTCAATATTGCTCCGAAACATTCATATATTCAAACTCCATATATCCAAAATTGAAACTCTCCACATCACTTCTCAACAGAAGTGATGTGGAGAGAGAAATGTTCGTTGGCTGTCGGCAGGACCTCCGAATTCGTAGTAGGATGTAGTACCGTACTACCGTAGTTATGCACTACCGTACTACCATACCGCAGTACAGTGCTGCAGTACTTTAATAATTACCGCTTTTTAAATAATTGCCACTGATCAAGCACGTTCCCTGGGTTGAGGTTGGCTGGAATAGTGGCTAGACGCGGATTATACGGGTAAGGGTTTTACTAACCTAGGTACGTATCCGCGTCTGGAAGGAAAGAAAGTACTACCGTGCTGTACTACCGTAGTTTTGCACCCTAGTTAGGAATAATTGTATAATGGCCGCCGCAATAACGCATCATGGTATATTAATTTCCTATTTTAAAAATATAATATGTTGTAATTCGAAAAATAAGATCACAATAGTTTAGTCAGTGAATCGGTAAATTTAATTTCATTTGTTTGCTTATTTCCTTATATCTTATGCACTTTTAAACAAATGGAAGGTATGTCAGGATGAGTCACTGCGAAGACCACTCGATAAAGCTTCCGAACTCTCCCTTGACTGGCGAGCATGACTATGATGGCTAGAGCATCCTGCTGCGGAGGTCCGTAGTTCGAATCTCGCCGGCAGCCAACGAACATTTATCGCTTTTGAGACTATGCATTTCTCAAAAATGAGTTACGGTATTCCCATTTTGAATTCATGGGGTTTTCAAATATGTCTATACTTATTTCGGAGCAATTTCGATACATTTTTGCTTGATTTTGAGAAACCTTTTTTTGCTATGTATCTGCACATGCTTGAATTTCCGAGATTTTAGTCTAAAATGTATGTTAATGAACATACATTTTAAACTAAATCACTTGAAAACTTTATAGATTCAATAGAATCAAACTGATTGGGAACCGGCTGTTAAAGTTTTTAACTTCATCGCCATTTTGGATCTAAATTTGCTTATCAGTGCCCACGCATGGGGTTTTCTCAAATATAATGTAAGTATGTTTGTGACAGTTCTCTTGTCAGCAAAAATAAGCAAACAAGCCTCTCCCATACTTACATAACAAATTCACATTCCACCTAAGCTTTTAGCTTTAACTTTGACTTCAGTAATCTTATTTTAGAGTTGAATACAAATAAAGAATGCAACTTTGCATGAAACAATTTTTATGTTTCAATTCTTTTAAGGAAATTTTGAGTAGAAAAATTTTTAGGAGTTTTTTGTGCTTTCCTTCTGTTGTTAAAACTTTGACCTCTGAAACTCCCCCCCCCNCCCCCCCCCAATTTTACTTCAAATTTGAAGTTTGTTCAAGTGAAATTTTTTGCTACATTTCTTTATACCTAAAATAAATTTGGAAAATAATACGATTTTAATGTATTCATGGAGAGCGTTACTCATTTCCATTTTTCCCGCTTGTTAGCAAAATTAGAAAACAGAAATCCTTCTCACGTGTCATTTACTTACGTAATATTTCCACTGCTCCTTATCATAAATAAAATAAAACTTGTTACAATTCGTATTTTGAGAATAATTTATGGAAAGAAAAAAATTACTTTGGAAAAATACTGAGTAAAATGTTTTCAAACTTTAAACGATATCCAGTGAATCGTCCTTGAAGAAAGAAAACTTAAAAATTCGGCATTTTAGAAATTTTATTACTGAGAAACAATTCTTATCAAATTTGTCTCCAAAAATTGCATTATTTAGAATGATGCGAAAATTCAAGCGCTTCACAATTTAAAAACTTTTCGATCATGCTTAAATTAAATAATGAAAAATAATAATTGATTATTAGAAATAAATTTTTGAATCGGTTTATTTTTAGGATAAAAATATTTCGCAGTTGTGGATATAAATTTTTCGATTCGCATAAAAGAATTTTTGAGACTCGGCTAACTACCCAAGAAGTGAAATTAACATTAAAAGATCCAAATTTCGACTACTCTCCTGACTAAACTTTTGAGACCACATTTTCTAGGTTGCGGCAAGCCCCCATATTTTAATAGTAAGAAATCCAAATCCGTCAAAAAAAATTATCCGTTGTTTTATTAAAAAAATTCCTTACAGTGTCTGATTTCGTAGTTTAAATTATCGTCTGCCCTAATTAATTAGCATATCTGAAGTTACCTCCTTGAAATATTAAGATAAACATTTAATTAGTGCGTAAAAATCCAATCATTAGAGCAAAAGTTATTCATTAACTTTTATTATTTATTTATTTATTTATTATTTTTTTTTTTGTGTACTGTGTTTCTATGTATTTCAAATGCTAGAAAATTACATTATATCACGTTCATTTAACTAAAAAATTAATTGAAGCAATGTTAATTATAAACTTCAATTTAGTTAAATAATACACTAAGAATGTTTCAACTGGAATTAATTATCACAACATTTCGATTGTCACACATTACATTGATCATCCGATATAGTTGCAAGCGTATTGATTCCATTACATACTAGTATTTGTGAAACATAATATTTTAACAAAGTAATAAAAAAAAATATTGCCAAAATGATTTTTGTTGCTAAAACTTAAAAAAATTAAATAAATTTAATGTCTGTTTTTTCCCCTTTTGTTCGTGAAGATAAAAAAAAGTTAAGTTCAACAGGTAATTCAGGAAGGAAGAAACCAATACAACATTCTTTCCTTGGTTACATTGATCATCAAAATGTAGTTATGATCAAGAAGAAAAAATTCTAATGACGGTTTTTTTTTCGAGTTTTGGTCAACTTTTTACAATTCAGATTACTAAACGTTTTAATTTCGATAAAGTGAATTAAAAGAATTATTTTTAACTTTATATGTGAGTTTTGTATTAAATTATAAAGAAAGTCTGTCAAACTTACCTTTATTTTGATCAAAGAGCATATGTGTTTCATGTGGTTATTGACAAAAGACTTTTTATCATACATCTGTAATATTCTCATGCTCCTGAGATAAAAGATATTGATTGAATAAATTACATAATCATAAGTATTTTTTGAACAGTTTAAAAACGACCTAGTTTTGAGAGCGTCCTTCATTTTTCAAACTCTGGGGAATAGGAATTTATTATTCACTTTATAAGTACTGCAAATCACCTATATTAAAATATTTTTTTAAATAGCGACACCACTTTTTAATTTTTTTTTTTTTTTTGGTGTCACCTATGATCTAAATTTCAGGAGTTTTTGCACCAATCTTTTTTAAATGTTCTATAAATATTACCAGCGACACGTATGCTTTTTTTTTGTAAATTAGGATATGAAACCGTTTTAAACCCTCAGAAACATGGCCAAGAAAAACAACATATCAATTTTATATTTAAACCCTTAACCTCTTGATTCCGAGTTTTTATTAAACATATTTTTCCTACTTTTTTCATTCTTTTGATTTAATTTGGGTCTAAAATAAATGAAAAATACTATATTTATCATTTCAATAATGTGTTGTTATGAAATACAACATGAAACATAGGTGTCCCTTTTTGTTTAAAAAGTAAAATCTTCCAACAAGGCTCACTTCCAAACAATAATTGTCCAAATATGCACTTATTTGCAGTTAGGTTTAAGAGAAAGTTGTTCATCATTTAAATTTTTTTAATTCATAAAATCAATTGTTGATAAATTTTTTAATATTAATGGAACGAAATTTTCAACTACTTTTTGGATTTTATATTTTAGTACAAAAATAATTCTGAATTTTGTATTATAATGGATTCGCGTCTAGATTTTTTTTTGTAATTAAAAGATACTAAAATAAATTTTTGCCTGTAATTAAAGAGTCAGAAAAAATCTATATAAAACAGACACCGGTGTCCTTTCTGCGTCAGAGAGGTCAGAGAGTAAGAAGCGGCAATTAAAGATGATTAGTTTTGATGTTAGTTAGTCATGACATGATAAGTTTTTTCTACCTAGCAAACATTTTTATAAATAAACGTGTAAGAGCCAAGAGTAATTTCGATTTTAAATGTGTTTCGGACAATAAATTAAAATTTTTCAAAATGAAAAGAAATGTTTCAAAAACATTTTTATACATATATACGGGTATATATATACATATATGGGTTTTAAAACATGATTATGGGTAGATATATGGGTACATATGTTTGGGTTATGGGTTTATATGGTTATATATAGGTTTCAAAAGAAATCACAAATTGCTTGCTAGATAATAAATAAAATAAGAATCAGAACTATTTACTAACAAGGGAAACTAGGGAAGTGTGACTCGCCAATTTTGAAATAAACTCGAGGGATGCATGTCTTATGAGGAACAATTTTAGGGGGCAACATTCGTTTCGGCCCATAGAAGGTCATGGGAGAGATAAAAAATAATTCAATATATGGAAAAATCGGTATTTTATTACTTCAATGCAGACTATTAGTTATTGTAATTGTCTCATAATCCAATTAATTTGTAATTAATTGGATGATTAATTATTTTTTTAATTAATAGATTAATCAGAAATTATTAATTAATTAATTGATTTGCAATTACATACTCCAATTAATTTGGAAAGTTTTTTGAAAAAAAAAATTTAAAATATTTGATGGCAATTTTTTTTTTTTAAATTAACCTAACAGGTTTTTCTGAAAAACTGCAGATACATAAAATTTTCAAAATTAATTTTAACAATAAATATGCATTATATAGTACGTGAAAGTAATTAATTATCCAATTAATTACAAATTAATTGGAGTATGAGACAATTACAATAACTAATAGTCTGCATTGAAGTAATAAAATACTGATTTTTCCATATATTGAATTATTTTTTATCTCTCATAGGACCTTCTATGGGCCGAAACGAATGTTGCCCCCTAAAATTATTCCTCATAAGGCATACATCCCACTTGTTTATTTCAAAATTGACGAGTCACACTTCCCTAGTTTCCCTTGTAAGTAAGTTTGGATAATTAAAGCGAGTTAAACATATCATAATCAATTCATAATCAATTAGCATGGCCATATTCATAATCAATTAGGGGTAATATGGCCTAACATCCATTCCAAACAGCAATCGTATTTATAGGTATTATTTGAAAGTAAATTAATAATAAAATTATTTATGGTTAAAAAATTTTGCTGAATTAGAAATTTCTTTTTCTCCATACCATGACATGAAATTTTTTCTCTCCATACAACATGAGTAATCCAAATTTTTCATAAGTGGTGAAATAATCTTTTCTTTGAGAGTTACAAATTTATTGTGACTTAAATACACTTCATGTTAAAAAGGGACGCTCTTAAACATATCTCCAGGCAAGGTGGAGATCATGTTATGGCTGTTCATGTAATAAAAGGAGATTGAAATTTGTAGAAAACAGAACAATATTTAAAATTTCATACTTTTGTGAGGATAATTTAAAAACTAACCTTCCACGTTTATGGCATCCAAAACTCATGAAAAAAGTAATTTTGATAAAATAAAAATAGGTTTTTAAGTAAAAATTGTGAATTTTTCATTAATTTATAAAGTACATACATAGTACGGATTTATGTATAGAACAGCATAATAGGTAATAAGGAGGAGGCTTTCTGTTACATACGCACTCTTTTGCCGAGTTTTTTTAATGACCATTTTGTGAAAATGTGGATATACTGCTTTGACACTGCATATAATTCCTGTCATTAAAGCCTGTGAGCTAGTTAGAGTAAAAACCTTAGACTTGAAAAATCTCCAAAGCAAAAAAGGGACACCAGCTTTAAATCGAATGATCTGGGCGGCTAATTCTGATCTCTAAAATAAGGATTTACACATTTCGCATATGTTACAAGGCTGATCAAAATAGTGCTCGTTGTTATTTTGCGTAGAGTTTCATTTTTAATGTCACTTAAGCAGAGACAAGGTTTCGTTACTATAATGAAGTGATTATTATTATTATTACTTTATTATTATTATTACTTTATTTCAGGTTTTGATACTTCTTCAGTATCAAAACCCGAAATAAAGGAGTGATACACAGAAATTAAAGAGAAACTATAAATTAAAGCAAGGGACATATATAATCAATCTACATCATTTTTGTTAGTTAGTTTGTTTGAACTTGTTTGTAATCTCCGCTGCATATCCAGGTTTTATTCTTTCATTTCACTGAGGAGGTGTTTCAATCAGTGGTTCTTAATTTTTTTCGACTTCGGAACCCTAAATAATCATTCTTCTCTCGGTGAAATTCCAACTTTAAATAAAATTTAAGGTAATTCTGAACGTTGTAACCTACAAAAGACTATATTTAAAATATTGAATTAGAGAGAATGAATATTTTTTATCGTGTAATAATCAATAATTCTGAATTAGGTTTTATGTCCAGCAGTTAAATGCGCAGTCCTTGTTCTATATCTAGTTCAGTTATGAATTTGTTTCTAGAGTATACACAGAATTTTATCCAACTGTTCACGTGGCATTATTTGTGGCCGCTTTTTCCTGTTATTTTAACTTTACTTAAAAATTATAAGTTGAAAATAAGTTGAATTATAAGTTGAAATTAATTGAAGTAATGAACCTATAAATCTGTCCCCTATCAAACTATTCACTCAAAAAATTGCATCCTCTCCTTTTTTCTCGAAAATATCAAATTAACAATAATAAGATTTTTTCTGCATTACAAATCATTTTTCATTAAGAATTTGTATTGTCTGGTACTGTTCGAGTACTGAACTTCAAGTTCCATTCTTGGTGGTTTCACTAAATTGAAAACGTTCGAGGTAAGAAATAGGAACAAAAAAAATTAAAGGAGAGTGTAATCGAGGATATTTTATACGAGTGAAATATTATTCAATCTTAAAGATTCAAGTCACCTTCTAAACTTATACAAGAGTTGGATTGCGTAAAAATTTTCCACGTGAAAAAAGAGCAATTAGTAAAAAAAGGAGATAAGTTTCACAATGTGAAATATTATCTCTATATTTTTTTTATTTTTCGTAGCAAAGCAGATGTTGATGTTGCTGCATCACACGTGCGTTGAATTGTTTTTATCTTAATTATTTTAACTCAGTTAATTGTCTATTTTTTTCTGAACACCATCCCCACTTTAGTCGATGCATTAGCCGATGCATTTATGATATATCGGCTCCTCGTCAAAACGAATCGGCTCATATTGTGAAAATGAAATAGGATGATCAGACAACTTTCAATTTTGAACTTTCAGTTTAAAAAACAAAATAAATCTTAAGAACTTACTTTAAGATTTCTCATAGACGTTTTCTAAATCTAATGAATATTAAAAAGTGTTCCTTATCACACACACCTGCAATATTCTCATTCATAGCAGATAATCTTTGCTGACTGATTTTAGAACTGATATAATATAAATAGAAATACAAATACCCTTATGCATATTAAAAATGTTAACCGATTTGCTTTTTTTAGACGTATGATATGCATTTGAATATTTTTATCCATATGTAAATGTGGGCTTATAAGTGTATAAGTATACATTTACAGACAACATTTACTACAACAAGCTACAATTGCATATGTGCTTAAATGTGTACAAAAATTAGATATAACCTCATATTTACATGGATTAATTAACAAAGTTACTCATTTTTTTCATCCTAAAACAAATTTTATTGAAAAATCTCAATTAATAAGTTATGTAGCGGTAATCAGCCTAGATGAACAAGAATATAATCTATTACTGTAATAATGTTTAATGATTACTAATTTTTAAAATATTAAACTATTATTACCATTTAAGTTAACTAGGTCTCTCTCTTTTGGCTTCTGATAGCTCAGATTTAGTTTTTACCTATAGATAAGCATGTTTATTTATAAGTAGCATAAATGAAGATGTATTTCACCCAACATTTTATTTTAAGCTTTCAAAATCACGTAGCTTTTTTTGCATGCAATATAAATGAAATACCACTTCTATAAACTACTCGTGTTGTCTACATAATCCATTGGTATGTACGCTTAGTAAGTTATATTTAAAATATACTTATTTTTATAATGTTTCTTAATTTATTCAAAATTGAAAAACATGAAACAACCAAAGACATCAATAAAATTAATTATAATAAATATTGTTCATTAATTAATTATAATTAATTAAATAAATTATAATTTAAATTAATTTTGCGACTGTAGGAACCTACATGTCGATATGAACCAACATATAAGAATTACAACGTTGTTTTCATTGATATCGCACAGGATTACTTGGTCACATAGACTTCCCTGGAAAAAATTTTAAATTTGTTATTATCTCTGCAACACCTTGTTTCTTTGAAAAAATTATAAGGTCAGTGTTTGTATTTATATGTTTGAAGTGGAATTAATTGCATGTAATAGTCTTATTTTTCTCACTGTGAAAAAGAGAATTCAAAATATAGTTATTGAAGTTACGTTTTATTTTTTTTAAAGCACCATAGCATAATCAAGTACTGAGATAAGGGGGTGTTTATTCACTGGATCACCAAACGATGAAAAACCAGTGAAGGAACAAGTGTTCCTTTACTGGGTTTTTTTCCCAGTTAATGAAAATAAAAGATAAACTTTAATTTTCTTGTACCTTTAGTGATGTTCCGCATCAAAAGTATGTTAAAAATACGAAAAACAACTTCTAACCAGTGAGGGAACAGGCATGTTCCTTTACTGGGCATAGATTTCCCAGTGAATGAACAGTATGTGTTAATATGTTGACACTTTAATTTTCAATTCATGATTACAAAAAAAAGTTAACATTTTCCAAGTATTTATATGTTATAATTTCAAGAATAGGCTTGTTTTTAAATATTTGTATGGCTTATAAATTCATAAAGAGCATTAAAAAATAACCAAAATTAAGTGTTCCTTTACTGGGTGTTCATTCACTGGTAAGAGCTGTTCCTTCACTTGGTCTTCTTACTACTTGTTATTTGAACCTCCAAAACTTTAAAACAATATTATGTAAGTTCTCTACAATTTTTTTACATAATTTGCAATTAGTAACAAATATGTTGACACTGTCATTTAACTAAAATTACGAATTTTGAAATTAATATGATTTTTTAAAAGGCAAGCGAAGTTTAAGTGTTCCTTCACTGGTTAGTTTACCCTAGGAATAATTTATATAAATGGAGATCGTTACGAAAAAAATCTACGAAACAGAAATAAATATCTTTATTTAGCAATAAAGTTCATTATATTTTAGATACCTAAGGGTGTCTCCCTTCAAACTTTCAGGTTCGCTACATTCACCTTCAAAATACAGAGGAGTTGGATGGTTCACCATCCATTTCAAACGACAATCACACCGGATAGCATTACCTAAAAAAAGAAAAATAGATTTTTTTCCAAAAACAAAAGGAGTGAAAACGCTTAATTAAATCGCCGGAATTACTTTTTCCTTACCTTTCAAATATAGCGATTGTAAAATTCTAATGGCTGGAGAAAAAATTTCCTCTTTAAGAGTCACAAATTTGTTACGACTTAAATTCAATTCACGTAAAACTGGCATGTTCTTAAATATATTATCTGGCAAAATTCCCAACAAATTGTCGCTGTAAAAAATAACAAAATCAAATAAATTAACAGTAATAAATGCATACAGCCATCCACTGAACAGTTATAACAGTAATAAATATATAAATACAAATATATATTTAAAAATATTGAAATTTTTTAATGACAGGAGAGAAACTTCCTCGCTGAGTGTCACTAATTTATTACGACTTAAATTCAATTCAAGTAAAAGAGGAATGTTCTTAAACAAATCATGAGGAAAAAATCCCAATTAATTGTCGCTGCAAAAAAACAAAATGAAATAAAATTAATGAAATAAAAATATAATACATTACAAATACGTACAGTGTGCAAAAGAAAAAAATCGACCACCCTGAATAACTTTATCTATAAGTTGGATTTTCACGTTCTAACCCTCAATCTTAATGGCTCGAGAGAGTGACCTTAAATATGCTAATTAATAAGCGCAGATGATATTTTAAGTTTATGAAATCAGATACAAAAACGTACTTTCTTTGAGTTAACTTTTTAACAAAAGCATAGCGTATGACTCCTGTGGTTCATGTGACTCGTTTTTTTCGGAGCACATGGTTAGCCGTTTGACGCAGAATTCTTATTAAACATATATTTTCTACTACTTTCATTATTTGCTGTTGTTGCTCATCCCCTTGGTCTAGAGCCATAGACCAAGTCCGGAAGATCATGTCGCATCAGCAAGTCATAGACAGTCTCTCCATCACTCATCAGTTGCTTCACAGAGGCACCAATGCAATCCAAAAGATGAGATGGGGAAGCGATGGCCGAGCAATGGCAATAAGCATAAGTCTTTTCTTTCGCTCTGAAGGTCAAACACTTAATATGGCCGGTCCTAAGTATTGACAAAGCTGTATGAGCAAATCTAGGACAAGTGCACTGCAGGGATACTCCGGGGCATTTGGCGGTATACCAATCATGATCTGGTGGGTGCTTCCACGCTGAATTTACCCTAGCTAACTGCAGGGAGTGAACCTCAGACACTAGCAGTTTAGAGGAAGGGGGAGTAGCAAGTTCACACCCTTCCTTGGCAAGCCGATCAGCAATCTCATTCCCATAAATACCCACATGGGAGAGGATCCACTGCAAGTGCACCGAGCCTATCTGAGACAAAGTAGTCAATTCGATAACGATTTCCTGTCCCAAATTTTCCAAGATACTTGGCCAGCTCTTCAAATATTGAATTGAACTCTTGTTATCCGTTAATATCAATGTGTCAGGTACGCCAGAGTCCATGGCTAGGATCAAGGCCTCATTTATGGCAATTAACTCTGATCGAAAGACCGAGGCATGGTTCGGGTTTCTAAGCCGGCTTTTCATTATTTTGTATTAATTCTTTTCCTTATTTTGTATTAATTTAGGTAAAAGGTGAATAGCAGTTATTTCACATGTGAATAGCAACTATCTTAGAGGGGAATAGTAATTATCTTAGATGAGAATAGGAATTATCTTAGAGAAAAAAAGCAAGTAACTTAGAGGGAAATAGCAATTATCCTTGAGGAAAGTAGCAATAGTTATTGGTTTCTTGGATTCACTGAGAGATAATAGTTAAACTGTATGTAGTATTTAATGGAACAAGAGCCTTAATTTACTGTATTATACCAGACCTAAGCGATAGTGCATAATTTAGGCATGGTAAGACTAAACCTTTTTGGAAAAGTTCTAATTTGATTGAATTAAAATTTCTTCAACAGCAAAAAAATTACCATTACCTTAGATCTAAATGATGCAATTCTTTAGCTGGATTAGGAAACATGTTTCTGGTGATTTCACTTAGCTGATTTTGTTTTAGAATCAGCAATTTAAGATTAGGCAATCCGCTGAAAGCTTCTGGGTGGAGGAAAGATATCTGTGCATTACTGATTCCTAGAGCATTCAGGGATTCCAGATGGGGGAATTCGTTGTCTAATGAATGCATTCCAATATTGTTTACATCTATTAACGACAGTTTCTTGAGGTTGCGCAGTTGAGACCACTCCCAAGTAGTAATATAATGGGCACCCGTTGCTCGGATCTCTTCCAGAGTGTTCTCTAGTCCTTCAAAAGCCACGTCAGTGTCCGACAAGGACATCACTTGCGAGTTTCCAAAACGGATCTGCGCAAGTATTTATATATATTAATTCTCAAATACATTGGTTAAATTTATAATAAAAATCTCTAAGAAAATAATAAACAAAATGCATTGAATAATTAATTTGTTTCTTAAATAACTAAGCGCAAAAAATTATCATGCTGAATAACTTTTTATTTAATGATCGGATTTTCACGTACTACAACTTAATCTCAATGGGGTCACCTCGAATATGCGACTCTATAGTGCAAACGATATTTTAATTACGAAATTAGACAAAAAAAGTACTTTTCTGAATAAATAGACTTTATTTTCGATGGATTTTGATTTCTAACCTCCAAAATATACGGGGTAGTCGCAATCATGGAAATATGGTCCCAATAGTTTGGTCAGGAGAATACTTAAAAGTTTGGAACCCTTAATGTTAATTTTACTTTTTGCGTAATTCGCTATATCTCGAGAACTTTTTAAGCTAATTGAAAAATTATCTACAATATAAGAAGTTGGCCTAAATATTTTGGCTAGGATAGCGGTTCTAAGCCATGTTTCAAGAATTTTTTTATGTGAATTGAAACGTTTTTAAACACAATAAAATTCGTTTATCCAAAGCTATAAATTGTGAATTAAATCGATTAAATAGTTCTCGACAAATCGTATTTTAGAGAACTTGCATGTTTTTAAAATTTGTTTTTGCAGGAGCTATTCGAATAATTTCGTAAAAATTTTGTATTATGACTTAAAAAATGTCATTCCTTAAATTAGGGTAAAAATGTATATACCAAACAATTCAAAATTGCTTCGACCATTAATGAATAAAATGTTAAAAAATTATCAAGAAGCTTTTTTGCCTATTACCTTTAGATAAACCAATTTTACAATAGTGTGTAAAATTTTTTCAATTCGCTTAAGAAATTCTAGAGATAAGGCGAAATGCACAAAAAATAAATTAGCATTAAGGGGTCCAAACTTTGAATCGTTCTCCTTAGCAAACTAATAGAGCTATATTTCCCATATTTCGGCTATTTCTCATATTAAAGGATCAGAAATCCAAATCCATCAACCTAAAAAAGGTATGAATATTCAGAGAAAGTATGTTATTGTGTTTGGTCTGCTACTTAAAATATCGTCTGCACTAATATAGCATATTTGAGTTCAGCCACTCGAACCAATAAGATTGAATCCTAGTAAGTGAAGAATTTTTTTTTTGGTGTATTGTACATTTGCAAAGCAAAGCAAAAAGTATATTGTAGTAAACATCTTTCAAATGATTTTTACCCTTAGTTTACTTAGCTCCATACATATGCATGTAAAATATCTAGATACCATTAATAACAGTCAATTATCTATCTTATCTTTTAAAAATTATCGAAATGCATTTTGAAATTTTGATTGCACTTTGAATTTAGCTAAAAAAAAAGTCAACCAGGGGCAAAAACCTTTTGAAAAAATGTATATTCTGCATAGTGCATTGTAATACATTATATTTATTCTTTTGCTTTGGGAATATAAGTCTTTTTTTTCATAGAATAGACCATTTATATAATTTACCTTGTTCTACTAATAATATCAGAAAATATTATTACTCTTGATTTTTTTTTAAAAAAAATCAGAAAATTTATTTACTCTTGAATGAATCTATAATGTTCTGAAACACGTTAGGCTTTTTATATAGTATATATTTTTTAATTTTTGATTAATTAAGCAGTATAATTAGAAACTAAAGTGTAAAATCTAATGTCATCATTTAATGGAAACAAAAACGATTAATATAATTAAAAATAATAATTTCTATAAAAATTACGCTGCTAATATACATATTGATAAACTTTTAGTCAGAAATTGTCAAAAATTGAAAAAATCAATAATTTATTTGATAAATATAAAGCAAAATCTATCTGACTCAATATCGCACAAATTTTTTCTATATATTATTATGCGAAAGTGCTAAACTAATCTTTAAAGGTAATTTCAAAGCAAGCAAAAGAAAAGAAAACGAAATCTTTACACTTAGGGTTCCAGCACTGTATATGTATGCATGTACTGCATTTAATTATTATTAAAATATTTAATTATTTTTAAAAATGTGATTACAGCTGTAATCATGATTACAATATTAATTACAGTAATCAATTACTTGTAATCATGATTACAATTTTGATTACAGCTGCAATCATGATTAAAATATTAATTACATTAATCAATAACTTGTAATTGTGATTACAATTTTGTTAGTCGATTACAGTAATCAATTACTTGTAATCGTGATTACAGCTGTAATCAAAATTTTGATTACGACGTAATCATGATTCCAAGTAAACACAACAAAAACGATTACGGGTAATTATGATTACAAGTAATCAAAATATATGATTACATGTAATCTAAATACATGATTACAAGACTATTGTATTCTTATAAATGATTCTATTTTACAGTAGATAGTATATTTATAACGATACATTTTGCACGTATTTACATGTGCTGCATTTTGTACGTATTTATATTTGTACAAAGGAATGTAACTAAAATGTATATACATATAAATTTATTGAAGAACTGATACTTTTACTTGATGTGTTATAATTAACTGTACTGAAATTTTATTTGTGCTATCGTTGATGCATTGAGCTGGTCAAGATTTTTTTTTGTTGCTGGCACTGCATATTGTTAATTAAAATTATTCTATTCTTACCTTTTCGAAGTTTGTAAACTTGAATAAATCATTTGGAAGATACATTAAGGAAGAATCTTCAAAGTTTACAGAGAATATTTTGTATGACTCTGTGGCCCTGATGGGTGGAATTATTTCCTCCACACTCATGATGTTGTTGCAATTCAGCATTGAAAATGTATCATATGCTTTACACAAACAAGATGGCGCCAGGTCTTCTTCGGGTGGGCATCGCTGAGCCACTGTTGCACAAACTAACCACAGCAAAAGTAAAGTTTTGTACGCCATACTTCAAAGCTTGATGCAATCTGCAATTTAAATATATTCTATAAATTTCAAGATTTATATTTAAGAGGAAGTACTTGAATAAATAAGAAGGCAACTGTTAGGTCTGCTCTTTTTTAGAAATTAAAAAATAATTTTTCTTTTACATTAATAGGATGTTTTTTTACTTCCAAAGCGCAGCCGATTGACACTCGTCATTCAGGTATCAGTAGGGCAGATTTGAGGGTCACTCCTTCAAGAGCACCATAGTAGGTGAACCATCGTTCAAATTTCATCAAATTTAGAGCATTACGAAAAGGTTAAAACTAGTTACAAGAGTTAATAAAAAAAATACGTGTGAGAAGTTTTTTAATGGATATTTTGTGTCCGAAAGTCTTTCATTTTATATAAGTCTGCCTCCACAATTAACTTAAAATTATAAGTATAAAAAATTCAGTTCTGGTAAACCTGGAGTAAGCCACGAAGCTTCAACTCCTGAAAAAAAAAAATACAAATACCAAAATACTTATAAATTGTTGTTGGAGAAGTTGTCCTCTCATAATTTGATTTCACTTTGATATTTAAAATATTTCTCTACACTTACTTTACGTTTGTCTCAACTCAATTTTTAAATTACTTATGAAAGTAAATTCGTGATAAAAAATTCCAAGCATCTTCTTTCCAAGCTCAGATTATTGCACAATTATTGCAATATTAAATTATTGTTGGATGATTAGGCGAATTAATAAAGTATAAGAAGCGTCGATATAGACGAGGTTAAGTGAAGGAAGATCTTGTATGGTATGGAGATGAAAAACGCTTAAAATGTACATAAAAGAATCGAACAAAATATCGAAAAGTAGACAAACGCGCTAAACCTCTAAAATTATTAAATGTCATATTGAAAATAAACAGGTTTTTATAATAAAAAAAGGAGGAAAGCCTATTTTCTTTGACATTTCTCGCGTATCTAGGAAAAAGTGAGATCCGTGTTATCACATTCTAAGGAAACAGATATCCAAAACAGTAAAAATTCTCTACTTTTTGAACTTGTTCACGTGTATCGTTTAAATATAACTCATTTTATTTATGGATTTTTAACATGTTATTCATTCATGAATCACTCACCAACGATTAACTGCATTGAAGTCATTTCTTTTTCAATAGCTTGAACTCACTTAAAATATATGTAATCAAAATATTCTCTCGTTTGATTACAAATTTCCAGCCTCCCCCATTCTACAAAAAAATTCGCAATTCTGTCCGAATTCTCTTGGGAACCCAAATCAATTTTCGCGATAAACAATTTTTATCCATCATATCTAAAAGCAATGCTGATCTATCAGCATAACAATTTTTATGATTAACCCTTTTTTATGTTTAATATTTAAGAGCAATACTGCTCTGTGGCATAACTATTTATATGCTTCAAACTTTTTTATACACAATATTTAAAAGCACTAATGCTCTCTCATCATAACATTTTCGTAATTAACACTTTTTATACATAATAATTAAAAGATCAAGCTGCTCTACGGAAAAAATAATCTTTCTGATTAACACTTTTTACACATAATATTTTAAAACAATGCTGCTCTGTCGGCATAACAGTTTTCGTAATTAACACTTTTTATACATAATAATTAAAAGATCAAGCTGCTCTACGGGAAAAATAATCTTCCTGATTAACACTTTTTACACATAATATTTTAAAACAATGCTGCTCTGGCGGCATAACAGTTTTCGTAATTAACACTTTTTATACATAATAATTAAAGACACTGTTGTTCTGTTACCATAACAGTTTTCGTAATTAACACTTTTTATACATATTATTCAAAAGCACTGTTGTTCTGTTGTCATAACATTTTCATGATTAACACATTTTTTACACAATATTTAAAAGCACAGTTAGTCTGTCGGCGTAACATTTTCGTGATTAACACTTTTTATACATAATATTTATACTTCTAATTATGCATTATTGTTCTTCTCATGTATAAGTTTATGCAGTTAATACAATATTTAAGAGCTATACTTTAGTTTTAATAATGCTAAATAATTAACACATGGGAAAGATGCTTTTTATTAACGGAAAATGGTCAGAAATACGTTGTTCTCTGATTCGACCTTCATTTGGGATTAGTATACTCTAGTTTGATTAATTTGTGCATACTTTATTTTTTACTACCATGTTTTTTTTAAAAATATTTCTCACCTTTTTCTTTGGAATTTATACATTTTGAAAATTTGTGTAAAAAAAAAAAGGACTTACAATTAATACGTCTATAAATAATGAAATTTAGAATTGTATATAAAAAGAAATTCACCGAAGTATCTGTTTTCAGATTTAATCTCTATACATTATTACAAAACAAAACTTAAATCGTATTCTATGTAAATTGATTTAAATTTTTGCAATATGATATGTTACATGATTGCAAGAAACTTTAAAAATGTAATATAATACATAATTTCCGTTAAAATCAATTATAATAAATTTTTTTAACTTACGATTTAACTGTCGTAATTTTCTGAAACACTCTCCTTTCTGAAGAATTTATCAAAAAGGTTTTTAATCACGCACCTGCAGCATTCTCACTATCAGCAGATAATTTACGTAAACTGATTTTACATTGATTTATTTTAAAAAGTTACATATGCATAATATAAATGAAATTGTTAAGGTAATTGAAATACTTTGCGTTTGCTGAAAAATGTATTCATTTCATAAATGATTTATGATTGGGTCATACACCATTTGTGATTTTTTAGTGGAATTAATTTGAAATTACTCTTAAAACATGGTCGGCACATATTCTAAAAATGCACACATATGTGCTGAAATAACCATTAAAATTAAAAAAAAAGGCTTTTTAGTTCGATACACCCCGAGCCCCGCTATGCCCCGAGCATATGTGGAACTAATATAAAGATGGACAATTAGCGAATTTTTAATAATATTTTGCAGCAGTTTTTTAAAATTTTTTAATAATCTTTTGAAACTGGGATCAAATTAAAACATGGGCGTCATATTTCCATTAAACACCCACATATGTCCTGATATATATATTAAATTTTATGTCTATTAATTTTTTTTATATTTAAAATCAATTATCTATTAATTTTTTTGTATTTAAAAAAATATTATTCGTTTCAAAACTCGAAATTCTCAAAGAGTAATTATAACTAACATAAAATTTGGCAATTAGTTGAATTTTTATGCTTTTTCGGAACAGGGAATTCTTTTGACAATAGTATCAAATTAAAACATGGGCATCATATTGCCATTAATTACCCAAAGATGATTTCAGACTGCACAAGTTTTTTTTTATCAATTATTTATTATCTTTTAATAATTTTATTTAAATATGGTCGAAATTTCTTCAAATTTAGTTCAAACGAAAAAGTTGTTCAAATTTTTACATCAATGTAATGTTATATAGCAAAATACATAATTTGAACGAAATCGATTGTATAGTTTCTGAGAAATGGAATTTTAAAAAAAGACGGGTAAAATTCGATTTCTTTTTGAACTATTAGACCGATTTCGTCCAAACTTTGTATTTTACTGTTTAAAATTACATTCTTTAAAATGATGTAAGAAATTGTATACGATTTAAAGCTTTTCGCCTATAAATAAATAAAACAATAATAAATAATTATTAAAACTATTTTTTGTGTGGAATTATTCTTGAGTAGATGAATTTAATCATTGAGATCAGAAATTATTTAATTCGTTTATGAATTCTCGAGGTAAGACAAAATGGGCAAAAAGTAAACTTATTTCCAAATTTCGACTGCTCTCTTGAGCAAACTGTTTGGAACATATGTATCAGATTACAACTACCCTCTATATCTTAAGGGTCAAAAATAATAATCCATCGAAACAAAGGTATGGCTATTCAGAGAATGTACGCTTTGTTGTCTAATTTTAGTAACTTTAAAAATGGCCTACTCTAGCTATCAAATTTGAGGTAATCTTTTCAGACCATTAAAATGAGCCGCGATGGCTCAGGGGATAGAGCGCTCGCCTTCCAATGCGGCGGACCGGGTTCGAATCCCAGTCGATACGAATTCCGCATTCGGCTTGCACCGGCCACAATGCTGACGTGAAATATGCTCAGTGGTAGACGGATCATGGGTTAGAGTCCCCATGTCATCAGGCTAACCGTGGAAGATTCTTGTGATCTTCCTCTCCATGTAACACAAATGCTGGTTAGCTCCATCAAAAAATCCTCCACGGAGACAAATTTCTCCCAATACTCGATCCAAGAGTTCCCTTGTCTTCTGGATTGGGTTCAAAATTACAAGGCTACGGAGTTGAACATTAGTAGTCGTAAAGCCATAAAATTGGTACTGCTGTTCAACGTCGGTTATATAAAAAAAAAGCTATTAAAATTGAGTTCTAGTACGAGAAAATCCCATCATTAGAATAAAAGTTATGCAGGGTGTTTCGTTTATTTATTTATTAATTTACTTTATGCACTGCACACCATATTTGATGTGAACTGGAAAAGAATTGTGGATTTGTATATGGTACATACATTTATACACACATGCATGTAAAAATTTATCTTTATTCACATAGATTTGCTACAGATAATTTTCAATTTGTTAATCAGATCATATTTTTATTCTATTTAAGTATTTCGTGTTTAAATGAAGAGCTAACATTACAATAAAACTTTTATTTAACAATAGAAATCGATATGTTTTAGGTATCTAAGTGTCCTTCCTCTCATAGGGGGAGGTTGCTCGCATTCGCCTTCTAAATGCAAATGAGTAAAATAACCCACAATCCATCTCATTCGGCAATCACATTGCAAAGCATTACCTGGAAAAATATATTTATTAATTCCTACATTGAAATAAAATGAATTTATTAAACTGAAATAGTTATTTTTCTTACCAGTTAACATCAATAATTGCAGTTTTTTAATGACCGGCGAAAAAGTCTCTTCATTGAGTGTCAAAAGTTTATTATGACTCAAATAGATTTCTCCTAAATTCGGCATGTTCTTAAACATATTTTCAGGTAAAGTCTCCAATAAGTTGTGACTGTAAGTACAATAAAACGGGATTAAAATTTTACAGAGAAAGAAAAACTTTCATGTTCGGATGTTTAATGAATTTCAGAAACTTTTATTATAGTTTCGGAATCGTTTTGCATCCTATTTTTTCCATCTCGAAAATAGTTTTCATTCTTATCTATATTTTTACTCCATGTTTTTTAAAATACTAATTAAATTTTGTATTAATTTTTGTATTAATTTTGTACTTTTACAATTTCTAAACTATTAGTCCTATCAACTTGATATTAGTTCTTCGACTTACATTATTTGGATGCTTACAGAATTTTAAATGATTTTTATGATATTTTTGGAATTGTTTTGCATAAGATTCTACATATCACATTCTACTTATCAAGATAAGAATTTCAGACACATAGAAAGGTATAAAATATTTACATTCCACTTCAATTCTTAACTATATTTTTCATAGTGATTAAAAATTTAATTTGATTGGAACAATAATAATTTTTTGCATTAATTTTGTACTTTTACAACTTCTAAACTATTAGTCCTATCGACTAGATATTAATTCTTCGACTTACATTATTTGGATGTTTACGGGATTTTAAATTATTTCTATGATACTTTTGGAATTGTTTTGCATAAGATATTTACATTTCACTTCAGTTTGATAGCTTTACTTCTTAACTATGTTTTTAATCCATATTTTTAATGGTGACTAAAAAATTTAATTTAATTTAATTGGGACACTAAAAAAATTTTCGTATTAATTTTGAACTTAAGAAAAATTAACTTTTTATAAACGAAACTTTTATAGCTTTTATGACTTCTAAACTATTAGTTGTATAGCCTTGGTTTAGGGTTCAATAGATTAAACGTAAACAAACATGATAATTAACATTCTACTTATCAAGATAAGAATTTCAGACACATAGAAAGGTATAAAATATTTACTTTCTATGCGGCATATTTACTAATTACCTTATGACTATTTATCTTATCAACTTGATTTTGGTGTCTTTTTATTTAATGTAAAAATTACCCATGAAAAAATACCTCACTTGTCTGGATAGTAATTGTTTACGTTTTTCATCCTTTGACTCTTCTTCCACTCTCGTTCAGTTTATTCAAGATGGTGACTTAAGTTCACAACAAGAAGGATGGAAAACTTCAGGTTCTATTGGGTTAAAACCAAAAGTTTTGAAGCAACTTCCAGCTTTCCCTTTTATGGAGCCTTTAATTTATTTGTCACAGTAACTGGCCTATTAAATTTTCTAACTATTTTAATGTATATGGAAGAAAGCAGGAAGCAATTTTTGTCATTTATACAAATATCTTGTGTTGATTGAATTTTTCATAAATGTTTATTGCTGTGATATAATTAATATTAAATTGTCAAGTTACTTTTATTGAATTTAAATTTATTTTCTTACAGTTTTCAGCTAATTTCTACAGTTAAATAAGAAAATAGTGTGGAGAAGGTATCTATATTTAGCTGAATTTCAAAATAGTTCCAAAGTTGATAATTAATGAAGACTTATTTGAAGAAAAATGTATTTTTAACAATCTAGAAGCACACTGAACAAAACTGCACTTATATGCATGTTTATACGAGTCTGTTATATGCATGATTTTATAGGTTACATTAAATGCTCGAGATAAAATTTTTTGAAGAAATCTATACAATGCTTAAAAACATGAAAACAATTATTTTTTTATACTTATTCAATCAATATATGCGACAATATAAAATGTCCTACATCGTTCTCATTAAGCTACGAGAAAAATCAAAATCAATTTTCTGAAAATTCACAATGGTGTTTCATCTTCAGAGTATGAAAAATTAATTTTTCATTTTCTTCGACAATTAACTTGATTTTGGCTATATTTTAAGCATCCTTTGTTTATGATTGGCATCAATAATCATTCGTTTGGTTTTGATTTTTTTTCGTTCCTTGCCTCAGTGAACGTTAGTTTGCGATTCTTATTATAAAGTTAAAGTATTAAATGATATTTAATAAAAAGAAATAAACCGGATATACCGTTAAGACCACTCTTAATAAAGAATTCTCACAAAAAAAAGGCAAACAGCAAAAAAATCAAGGGTCATAAAATAATATTTAAGAGAATAAAATTAAAAAGACTAAAGAATCACGAATGAGGTATGCGAATCTGAAAACGTCAAAATCTGTTTGAGTGCCAGAGGAAATTAAAATTCTATTGCACCATCAAGCTTAGTTTTTTCTGGTTTTGTATTCCACCCCCCTTTTTCAGTGATTCGCTCGATTACATTAAAGTTTTTGTTTTGGACTCACTACTAAAATATTAATTTTCGACCATTAAAGTGAATAATTTTTTGCATCTTTCTTAGGAAAACAACAGATATTAAGGAACACCGGGTATATACATTGAGTTTCAACTATGGAATAATCCGTAGAAGTTCGTTGAAAATTTCTTTACCTCAGATCCAAGTGATGTAGTTTATTAGCTGGATCAGGCAACATGCTTCTTTTAAATTTGCTTATTTCATTTTGCTTTAAAATGAGCACAGCTAGATTTGGCAATCCACTGAAAGCATCTGGATGGAGGAAGGATATTTTCGCCCTTCTAATTTCTAAGAGTGACATGTACTGGAGATGAGGGAATTCCTTGTCCACGGTATGCATGCCAATATTGTCGACTTTTATAGCCCACAATTTCTTGAGATTGCGCAGTTGAGACCAGTCCCAAGTTGTAACATACTGAGTGCTCGTCGCTATAATCTCTTCCAAAGAGTTCTCAAGTCCTTCAAAAGCCAAGTCTGAGTCTGACAGAGCCATCACTTGAGAGTTTCTAAAATAAACCTGAAACAGTATTTTAATCTTCAACAATTTCTAGTTGCGAATATAAAGCTAATACTTTTCTTTTTTTTTTTGCTTTATGAGTAACTTTGTTTTAAATTAGAGGAGGGTCGGGTAGCCCCGCCCACAGTCAATGTCATATGTATAGAATATTTTTTCAAATCAATGGGCCATCGGACATTAATTGTTATATTAAAAAAAGATTATTTTCAAAGTTTCAAGTATTTATGCAGCTGTTAACATGGTAAACAATAGTTGTGAAAATGTGTTGAATACAGTAGTCATGAAATTAAGAAAAATTGGTTGAATGTTTCGATTAAACTTCATTTTAATACTAAAAAAAATAATTTTTTCTTTGCATACAGCGTTAAAGTATGTAGTCTTAAGTTTAATTTGCGCGAAGAAAGAAGTTTATATGTGAAAAATTGTTCGAGTAATTACAAATTTACAAAAACATTGGATTTCGGGTAGCCCCGCTCACATGAATGTCGGATATCACCGCCCAATTTTATTTCTTCGATAAATGTACGGTTGCAAAGATTATAATTTTATTGCTTCAAATTTGAATGTTATATGCATTTTTAACAACAAATATTGTTGTTATTAAATGATAGAATTCACTAAAAGTATATAAATATGTAATAAATAAAATAATTTTGTGATAAAAATGATGAATGAGGTTTATCTATTATCAATACATTGGTCACTTTCATTTATGCCTGAAGAAACAGTCAAAAAACGTAATTTTTGTAACTCGACACATTTTGAAAAGAGCTGTAAAACATGTTTTTTTAAATGTCTATTTTTTTAAGTTAAACTATTCTTTTTTTTGGTTTATACCTTTTGCATTATTTAATTAGATGATAAAACGATAGAAACATACAAAAATATTGATTATTACTCAATATTATACAGAAATATAAGCAATACTCCTTAAGTTGGCGGGGCTATCCGACTCTCCCCTAATATTTGGCTCAAAATAAGACATTTTATTTTACAAGAAAAATTCATTTACGTACAGAGTTATAATTTACTTGGTTCTTTCAAAACCCATATCTTGAAAAAATTTAAGATGTCCCGTGCACCAAAAAAAAAACAAAACCCAAACCATCTTGAATAACTTTTGATCTAATGATCGTATCTTCATGTTCTAGAACTCAATCGTAATGGTTCAAGAGGGTGAACTCAAATATGTTAATTAATAAGTGTAGATGATATTTTCAGTTACAAAATCGTAACGTTCTTTCCCTGAATAAACAAGCTTTTTTTTCAAAGTATTCGGATTTCTGATCCCAAAAATATAAGGGATAGCCATAATCTGGGAAATATGGTTCCAAAAGTTAGATCAAGAGAGCGGTCCAAAGTTTGGACCCCTTAATGTTAACTTTGTTCTTTGCATCTTTCACTTTTAAAGCGATTTGAAAATGTTTTGCGCACAATTATAAAGTTCGATTATCGAAAGATAATTCCATGACAAATTTAAATTTTAGTCAGTATTTATTATTTTTTATCATTTTATTTAATAATAATCGAAAAAAATTTGATTGTAAGGTATAAAACTTTTCACGTTACTTTCAAATTCGTGATTTTACATAGCAGAATGCAAATTTTGTGCGAAATCAGTCGAAAAGTTTCTGAGAAATCAAACTTTTAGAAAAGTTTTATTTATGTGTCTGATTTTGTTACTTAAAATATCGTGTGGACTAATTAATGCTAATGTTTGTAGTCACCCCTTCGAACCATTAAGTTTGAGTCCTAGGGCGTGAAGATCCGATCATTACATTAAAGGTTATTTATTTATTTTTGCTCACTGTAAATACATATAAAGTCGTAATATGTAATAACTCGACCATTAGATCAAAAGTTATTCAGTGTCAGTCTTTTTGCTTACTGTACAATTATTTCAAATTTTATATAAACGTTATTTTCCAAAACAAAACTGAGGTATAATGTATTTTAGAAGATCTGTATTGGGAGAACATAAACATAGAGTGCAAAGAAATGAGCATCCACTTAAATAGTCAAATAAATTCTAATTTAGGTACTTTTGGTCCTCTAGCATATAATTTAGGAAAATAATAAATATTACAGGATAGGCATCTGTTATTTTTTTCTACTGTCTTTGTGTTGTACTAGATCTTATCAAAATGCATATTAACAAGAACTTCACTTTCGTTGATATTGCAGAGATGGAATTTTTTTTTTGTCGTATGCCTGTTAAGGCAGTGGGGTTGCGATTGTTCCTGTTTTTCAGTGGCGCCATCTATGGCCAAGAAATCGACTTCTGCCAAGCACAACCACAACCTGTTTATCGGGCGGGTCACACATTCACACACAAAGGAGAAAGGACATAGAACAGAGAGAGAAAGAAACATCCATGCCTTGCCCGGAATTCGAACCCAGGACCTTCGACTCCTTCACCACAATTTCTTTTTCTTTAATGTAAGTAAAGGATGGCGACAAAAATGTGTTAAAACATGAAAAAAATCTAACATTAATTATTATTCAAAATTATCGAGGAAAAAAATTAAAGTTATTAAATATATGTATGCATCTTAATATAAAACATTAGTTAAAATACAGATAAAATTATACTAAATAGATATAAATTAAATACTCGCAATACTATAAGATTTAACTTGACTACTACGCTGTCATAGATTTCGCCATACGTTCCAGTGCGCACATACGTGAACCTGCATGTTTTTGGCTGTATTATTTTTTTCAATATTAGGTAAATATAAATTTAAAAGCTTCATACATATCACAGAACTACTGAGTCAAAAGAAAACAAAATTATAATAACTAAATCATATAATATTTAAAATTACTTGAGCAAGTGGGTTTAGCTTCCTTTTTTACTTTCGTTAATGTGGAATTCTTCCCAAATAACTTACATGTTCTGCATTAATTGCGGAATCCCCAGAAAGCTTAAACGAGTTCAACGAATGTTTCAGTTAGGGTAAAATTATACGTTTTCTTATAGCGTGTTTTTAGAAGCTAAAAAGCGAGGGTCCACATATGAGGACCGAGGGTATGCAACCCTACAAAAAACTTTTAGTCAATTGTTTCAAAACTCTATTTGTGTTTCACCTACTTACCCCTTTACTTAAGTATGGAGGCTTACCTTTCCTACGTGTGTATTCTTGAATATATCGCTTGGAATGTATAAAAGAGAAGAATCTTCTATGACGATTGTGTATAGCTTATAACCCTCCGTAGCTCTGATGGGTGGAATTAACAGATCCGTACTCATTATGTTGTTGCATGTCATTACAGAGAAAGTGTCAGAAACTCTGCATGTGCATGATGGAGCTATGTTTTCTTTCGGAGGACAACTCGGTTCTGCTGCTACACATACCAGCCACAGCAAAAATAATATTTTCTTAACCATTTCTGGCGCTGGTGAAGCCTATATAAAAATATATAGATTAAGAGGTTTGTCGAAATTATACATTTGTATTCGGTCTCCAGAATTTAAGAAAAGTTTCTCATTAATATAGGTTCAAAACAAACGTATTTTTTAAATTTTCCTTTCTCAAGAACTATTTGACTGCTTTTGTTCAAATTGACACAATCTAAGAAAAATAGAATGGATGCAGTGTGCAAAAAAAATAAACTAAGCATCCTGAATGAATTTTGATTTAATAATCGGATTTTCACGTACTAAAACTCATTCTTAATAGTTCGAAGGGATGACCTCGAATATGCCAACTAATTAGCGCAGATGATACTTTAAGTTACAAAATTAGACACAAAAATGCACTTTCTCTTAGTAAAAATGCACCTTATTTTCGACGGATTTGAATTTCTGACACTCAAAATATGGGGTATTGCCGCAATCTGGAAAATATGGTTCTAATAGTTAAGTCAGAAAGGCGGTCTTAAAGTTTGGATACTTTTAAGTTAATTTTAATTTTTACGTATTTCGCACTATCTCGTACAAATTTTATGCGAATCGCAAAATTTTTTTATCTAAAGAAAATTCCACGCAAAGTATAACTCTTAATAAATATTCAGTATTTTTAATTATTTTCATTATAAATAGTCGAAAAAATTTGAATTGTAAAGTATACGATTGCTTGCAATATTTTAAAGAATGTAATTTTAAAGGGCATAGTACAAAATTTTATTGAAATTAATCAAGTAGTTCCTGAGAAATCAAATTTTAAAAATACGACTTTTTTTATAATTCGATTTCTCAGATTCCCGATTCATTCGACCGATTTCGCTCACACTTTGTATTTTACCTTGCATAATTACATCTTTTTAAAAAATGTGAAAGATTGCATATCTTGCAACTCAAAATTCTTTTAAATTTTTTTCTTAAATTACGTTTTATGTTAAAACTAGATTTCTCAGCAACTATTCTACCAATTTCTCTCAAATTTTGTATTTTGATCGCTTTTGCCATGTTGAATTTCATCCTTTAAAATGATGTAAAAAGTTTTATATCTTGCAATTCAAATTTAATAAAAAATGATAAATAATTACTGAAAGTTGTAATTTTCATAGAGTTACCTTTGATTAAATGAATTTTATAAATGTGTGCAAAAATTTTTCAGTGCGCTAAAAAAGTTCCCGAGACATAGGGACCATATTTCGCAGCTTGCGATTACTCCCTTTAATTTGTGGGTCAGAAATTCGACCCCATCGAAAAGAAGATAGGTTTATTCAGAAGAAGTACATCTTTGTGTCTGGTTTTATAACTTTTGAATATATTCTGCACTAATTAATTAGCATATTTCAAGTCATAACCTAAAGTCTTTAGTCCTAAACGTGAAGATCCGATTTATAGATCAAAAATTATTCAGGGTAATAATTCCCACTGTATTTACCCTGAAATTATTCAGGGTAAATACAGTGGGAATTATTTTTCCCACTGTATATTCGCTTGTAAAAGTGTGACTAAAGTGATAAATTATCAATTACTCATAATGGCTAGTTAAAATATCTGCAAAGATTTGTATCCATCAAATTCGAAAAATTCGTTGCGTTTCTTAACAAAATTAACGTTAAAAGTAGTTGATAGAAATTTCTATAAACTATTGTTTCTTTGTATTGCGCAACACACCAGAGTTGGATTAAAATGTAATCGATTAATTTTTTTGATTACAATAATCAATTACTTGAAATCATGATTACAAGCCAACTTAATTTTGATTACAACTGTAATTGGGATTACAACAAGCAATTACGGTAATCAATTACTTGTAATAGTGATTGCAACTTTGATTACAGCTGTTATCGTGATTGCAATAGTCAATTACAGTAATCAATTACTTGTAATCGTGATTACAACTTTCACAAATTTTGATAACAGCTGTGCTCATGATTACAATATTGATTATAGTAATCAATTACTTGTAATCTTGATTACAGCTTTAATCATAATTCCAAGCAATTGCGATTACAAGTAATCACAACAAAAACGATTACGGGCAATAATGATCACAAGTAATCAAAATATATGATAACATGTAATCTTGATTGCAAGTAATTGTGATTACTTGTAATCATATTGCAGGTTTACAAGTAACTACAATTGCATACTATATGCAAATACATTATGTAAGTGTGTATGAGGATAGGCATTTTTATGTACATAGAATGTTCACACGCATGTGCGTACAATTTGTGATTCGTATATATACATATACAATGTACGTGCTAACGTTGTTTGTAAGAACAATATGCATATTTATATTGAAATATACATAATATAATACGTATATACTTAGTAGACATAACTATGCATTCATGATACACGTATGTTTGTTTTTATGCGAATGCAATGTTTTGTATGTTTGTATACATAGACAACATACGTATGAACGTACGTGAAATAAATTTCCATGCGTATGCATTTATGTACCCAAGTGCATACATTGTATAAATTTGTGATAATAGCTCATATATGCAATGTACGTATGTAAATACACTGTACGTATTTACGTTCAATATGTTGGAATGCTGTTTATAGGTACACAATATGTACATAGTTGCGTAATTAAAATGCATGTATGTACATTTACATGTACATAGATATATGGTTTGTACACGCAACGCATGTACTTATATAACTATATACTTTGTTAATACATATGCACATGTAATGTATGGATGTACAAAAAATGGTTGGATGTACGCATGTACATACAACGTAAACGTAATAACATTTAATGGATAAATACTCGCGTACATTTAAATATATGTATTTACAATGCACTCATACATTGTGCATGCATTACAAAAATTATAACAGTAAAGTTATTAAGGTTCGTTTTAAAATTTATTCTAAGACATATAAATCTCAATCTCTTATTTTTTGGAAAGCATACGATAATCTTATTTTAAATTCCATATTATTTCCACATATAAAATTAACCGTTTTTTTTCCATCTAAAAATTTCCATTTATGTTATAACAAAATAAATTCGTAACCTCAAACATTTTAGGAAAATACCGGAAAATAATATTATATTCAAAAAATTTGAAAATGATATAGAACAATAAAAGCTGAAAACTGAACTTAAATATCGTTTAATTTCGTAATTTAGCTTGCTTCAATCGCTATCAGTCAACTTACATTTTATTAATTGCTTTGTACAAGTATTTAGACGTAAATGTATTGTTCATAATGTATGTAAGTATGTACAATGCATGTACGTACATTCATGCATAGTAAATATGAATATGCATAGATGGGACATACATGTATTATAAAGTGTGGATACATTTATTGGACACATATACATTGTACATATTGCATGTATTGGGATAACATGTATGTACACATGCAGAATTTGTAAGAAAGATTTATAACATACATTTAACATGGATATACATTTTACATACACAAGTAACGTTTGCATAACATGCATATATTCATTGCGTATAAATGTGCATGTCCACATTGTTTGCACATGCATACGTAATTATTAGCTACATACATACGTACATATATTTCATACATACAATAAGTGTATGCATATGAGTGTGTAACCAAAATGTCTGTACATGTATATTTATCTACATATGCATTAGATAAATACATATGTAAATACATTTTAGTTACATTCATTCGTGCATACGCTATATGTAAATACGTACAAAATGTATCATTATACGGTACATTATACTATGTAATATATAATCATATATAAGTATACAATAGTTTTGTAATCATATATTTAGATTACATGTAATCATATATTTTGACTACTTGTAATCACGATTACAAGTAATTGATTGCAGTTATTGGTTATGTATTCAACGATTGCAGTTGTAATCAAAATTATGAATGTGTGTAATCATGTAATTGAGTAAAGTCAAGTAATTGATTACTGTAATTGAGTATTGTAATCATGATTACAGTTGTAATCAAAATTTGTAATCATGATTACAAGTAATTGATTAATGTAAGTGAAAAATGTAATCGATTGCATTTTTGCTCTTCTCTGGTGTAATCAAAAATTATGATTACTTGTAATCATGATTACACGTAATCGTGATTACAAGTAATTGATTACATAGCAGTAATTATTTCTAATCAATTACAGTTGTAATCGATTACTGTAATCGACAGTCAACTCTGCAACACATAACAATACTTTTTAAAAAAGTTGTGACTACAGCTCTTTCACTAAATGTTGTGCACTACTTCCGACCACCGGTATAGGGACTAAGGGACATTTTTGAAAATCTACATAATGCAATAGTCTTAATACATAGCTAATGACAAATTGATTCGAATCTTAACAGCAAACAAACGAATTAAAATTTTATCAAAAGAGAAATCATGCATTTTTTAGTTCAAGAACATAAAAAAAAGTTATCTTACATTTACAAAAACGTAAAGATTTAAATCTTATTACGTTTTTATTGTTAATTTGGACACAAAAATTAAAAACTTCTAAACATACCTTAGAATTTTTCGAAGACAATTTTTATTTTTAATAATGAGACAAAATCGTTTTATCGTACACCTGCAACATTCTCACGCTCTGCAGATAACTTTTACAAATTTTTTTTTTCCTTTTTAAGTAAAGGGGATATCATACAGTTAAAACTGTTAAATTTTGTGTATTTTTTTTCAAAAAAAAAGATTATAAGAAAGCAAATATTTCCGATTTTTTTTAATGTTATTACAAAGTACATTTAAAGTACATTTTCAAATTTTGTGTTAAAATTATTTATTTTCATTTCGCTTTTAGCATGATGTAAGACCACGCGTACAATGTGAAGTTTGACTACACGCAAAAAAAAAAAAAGTACATGACGGTCACTTGGTTTACTCCCACAAATTCATAAAATATGTATTACGTAATGCAAAAGTCTGTGTATTTATTTTTTTTTAAAAAAGTTACAAAAACATAGCGAGTTTGAAGATGGAATTCTTTTTTTGGCGTATTAAAAATATTAATATAATGGGTAAATTAAAAATAATTTTTTTTAAAAAACAAAAATGGCCTAACTGAATATTTTTTGATCTAATGATCGGATTTTTACTTTTTAGTAGGATTGAATCTTAATGATTTGAATAAGTGACCTCTAATATGCTAATTCATTAGGGCAAACGAAATTTAAATCAGATACAAAAACATACTTCTTCAGTGTAAACATGCCTTTTTTTCCCGACCGATTTGGATTTATGACCTTCAAACTATTGAGGGGGGGGGGATCGTAACCCAGGAAATATGGTCCCAATATTTTGGATACGAGAGAGGTAGATAGTTTGGATAGTTTTTCTTTTTGCGTGTTTTGTTATATCTCGAGAACTTTTTAAGCCGATCTGAAATTTTTTCTCACAATTATAAAATTTGTTTATCCAAAGATAAATCCATGCAAAAAATAACTTTAGTAAATATTTATTTTTTTATTATTTTATTTTATAATAATCAGAAAAAAAATTGCATTGTTTGTAAGTTATAAAACTTTTAACATCATTTTAAAGAGTGCAATTTTGCATGGCAAAATGCAAAATTCGAGCGAAATCAATCGAATAGTTCCTGAGAAATAGTTTCGTAGTTACAACACCTTAGCCTAGTCATTTTGAGCACAGCCAAGGAGACGAGGAAACTCCTGGAGCAAGTATAGAGAGAAATTTGTTTAAACAGTAGAAAACAAAAGTAATGACGGTTTTATATCATATAGTATAATAATTGACACCGTGCATCTTTGAATGTAAATACTAATTAACATTTTTAAGCAAAACGAAATTGACCAAAAGACTTAGAATCGAAATTTGATGATCGAGCAAAATGCAGAATAGAAATTACGATAAATGATTAAGACCTGGATTTTAAAAACATCTGTCTCTTTTCGCATTTTTTGACTCTTTGCTTTTAATAGACATTTCTTGAATAGTTCCAGAAAATAAATTTAGTTACTAAATATCGATTTAAAAAGAAGTCGTATTTTCAAAATTTGGTTTCTCAGGAACTGTTTGACCGATTTCGTTCAAATTTTGTGTTTTGCTATGTAAAATTACATTCTCTAAAATGATGTAAAAAATTTTATACGATATAATTCAAAATTATTTCGACTATTATGATATAAGAAAATAAAAAACAATAAATATTTACTAAATCCGTAAACAGTAAATTTTGAATATTTACTCATCTTTCTTGAAAATTTTCTTTAAATTGTTTAAAAAGAGCATTGTCTAAACAAGATTTATGTTTCGACACTGCGCTTTTTAAACTTGTCATGAAGACAACATGACAAAGGTTTGAAAAGGCAAGTTTACGCGCCCATATGGTAGTAAATATTTTTCTCGGCTTTCAATGCGTTTGCACAACGCATTGAAATGATGTAAAAAGCACTCTATCTGAAATTTTATTCTAAAATTATGATAAAATAAACTGCAGCTGTCAGTCCATTCGATTGACTGTAGAGTTTACGGTAAGGAACATATTTTACCTCTACGATGTTGAAATCGTTTACATCTAGCATGGTTAACTATTTATAGCTAGCATGGTTTCAAAACCGTTAAAAAAATTTTGACTGGTCATTGGATATAGTTAAGAAGCTTTATGGTGCTGCCATCTATGCGTGAATGAAAGTATCGTATTCTAATAGTCCAGGGTCATAAATTGAGGAGTGCAGAACACTGGAAACTCTTCGTATGTTAAAAGGAATAGAGGAAATATTGTTGTGTCAACGCTGGAACTCGAACTCCCGTCTTTTCGATCATGAGATTGACAGATTAGCATACCCTTTTAGCTATAATGTGTGTTCATCTGCTAGGAACTAAATGGTTTCATCGGGTGGGCCTAGTTGATGCGGTAAAATTCTAAATTCTGAAATTCTGTTTAAACGTATTTGGTAAAAGCAGCTAATAAGCGATTTTTCTTATAGTAGTCAGTTTGTATACCATCTTATTGACGGACAATTGACTATTTTGTTTGAATATGGTAAAATAACAATTGAATAAATTGCTTAAGCATTTTTTCTAAAAATTTCTAACAGGGCAATTTGCGTGATATAAATTGTAGTTTTATGAAAGTAAGCATAATTCCCTACTACTTTTTTTACGAAAAGTAATAAGGGACTGTGCTTAATTGAAGTTAATAATGTCTAATGTGACTATCGCTTCAGTTTTTAAAAATGTACCAAATAATGCATATCCTCAAGTACAAATACCCTTACTTGTATTATTAAAATGTTTTGCTTAGTACAAACTTTTTTGTTACGCGGAAATAAATTTAAAAAATAAAAAAATTGAGTTAACAGTTTTTATATTTTTGAATATAAACTCATGTGTGTAAAAATTGCAACACTACAAAGGACTTACGCTAGTGAGCTGAAATTTTCAGGAAATGCAAAATAGAGCATGATATGTAAATGATTAGAATTTCAAACCCGTAGCGCATGCGTATGCTGAGCAGCGTCCTCGGAACGGCTGATGGATCCGAATAAATAGACGGCTGTAGCGACGCGTGTATGGTTATCGGTGGTTATCTGCTAGTGGTAAACGTTAGCTTAGTCATTACTTATGCATATTCGACGAAAGAGAGCGAGATTTCAATAACTTACGGAGTTTAAACGGAGGGAAATCATCGGCCTTCGTGAAGCTGGATTATCTTATAGTGCTGTAGCCGCTCGTATGCAGCATAACAGCAGCACAGTGATGCGTGTTTGAAAGCAGTGAATGGACGAGTGTCGGACAACTCGGAAATCCGGGAGTGGATCCCGAATAGTCACGTCAGCTCGCGATGATAGACACCTGTTCGGCGTTGCGCTAACGGACCGTACGGCTCTCTCTAGATAACTGGCAGAACGGTGGTCAATAGCTATAGGTGTTTCATTGTGTGCTTTATCAATTCGTAGACGTCTGCTGCAGCGTGGACTGCGCGCAAGGACTCCTTTATGCAGGATCCCCCTTACGCTAAACCTTCGCCGTCTGCGGCTGCAATGGGCCAACCAGCATAGGGACTGGCGTGATGATTGGAAGCGTGTCGTGTTTTCTGACGAATCTCGCTTCAACTTGTGGTACCATGATGGTCGCATTCGTGTCAGACGCTATGCCGGTGAATGCCATCTTCCGGAGTGCGTTATCGAACGCCACAGTAGAAGAACACCCGGAGTTATGGTCTGGGGTGCCATAGCATATCATGGACGATCTCAATTGCTACGAATTGTGGGTAATCTGAAGAGTAACCGGTACATCAGTGAAGTTCTACAGCCCCAAGCTGTTCCCTTCCCTCAAGCCTTGCCAGGTGCTGTATTTCAACTGGACAATGCCCGTCCTCATATTTCTAGGACTGTTCAATCCTTCCTTGCATCACGACAGGTACAACTTCTTCCTTGACCGGCGTATTCACCGGATATGTCGCCGAATGAACATGTGTGGGATTTCGTTGGTCGGCGTCTCGCTCGTAATCCTCGTCCTGTTTCTTCTACAGACGAACTTTGGGTAAGCATACAAACAGTATGGAATTCTTCAGACAGGCATTCAAAGTTTGCCTGACTCCATGCCACGTCGTGTAGCAGCACTTATTGCGGAGCGCGGAAGCTACACAAAATACTGATTTCGATCTCTTGTTATTGTTTGTTTGCTTTGAAACTTTAATCATTTATTTGTACCACTACCACTGTGTATTAAATTTCATTCAATTATGACGATTCCTTCATGGTGTTGCAATTTTCACAAACAGGAGTTCATATATGTAAGAGAATGAGAGTTTAAATTCCACGAATGGAGGTAGCGTGTTCGAAACTCACCGCAACCCTGGGTGTATTCTTCATGATATCCTTCTCTGTGTTCTGTATGTCTGTCACTTTGACAAAGCTTATAAGCTATAATTGTCACTGATGTTATGTTTAAAATATGTGATAAATTGAATCGCTTAAAGTTAAATTTAAAACAATGACTACTGCTTAACCGAACAGAAAATTCCTTTTCGTTTCTCACTCATCCCACTCGAACGGTTCATTGTAAATGTTCTATTGACGACAGTGACCTTACTCGTGCTTCAAACTATTGTAAGCCAAATTTCCTCGACTTCGGTTGGATGTCTTAGGAATTTAAAGGACATACACACAACCAAAGACAGTCATTAATTTATATATTTATATATAGGAATGTATATGTGTATATATGTAGGTGTAATATATATATATA